ATAAACATTTACCATGTTCCTACATGGATTTTATAATGATTTTTAATTGTAGAATAATATTTCCACAAGGGACACTTTGGGTCAAAGGGTTCCTTTGACCATTTTCCTACTCTTGTCTTGTTAGAAGGCAGTAGAGCAGGATTTCCATGGGATGTGGTGCCAGGACTGGGTTGAGACATGGCTCTCTCATTTCCTAGCAGTGTGACCTTGGTTAGGCCACTAAATCTCTCCAGGCCTAGATGTCCTCATCTAGGAAAATGCGGGCTATATGAGTTCCAATCTCGTCAGGTCATTGTGAACACTACATGAGATCATGTACGTAGAAAGCTCACGAGTATCTGGAACGTCGTCGAGTTTGCTGATGTTAGTGGCTGCTGCTACGTAGCCTACATTCCAATCTGATGACTGGTTTGATTTTTATAAACATCCTCCAAGAAAATGCACATGGAATACCAGGCCACGTCATTTCATCTCTCATGTCACTTTACCTCTTGAGATCCTCATTTGCAAAGTGAGGTGGTGTGACCCCAAAGGCCCCTTCCATCTCCAACATGCAGTGATTCTTGGCTTATGCTAAAAGCAGCTATAACCACTGCAGGGAAATGACCTATGGAAACTACAGCCCTGCCCATGAAGAAGGAAATCTGCAAAGGCCTGAGGGTTTGTGCACATCAGTTTATCTTTTAGTCTGGATAAACATTTGACATTTGTTCCGACACCTTCCTTCCAAAGGCCTCTCACAGTTCAGTCTGTGTGCTTCTCAGATCTCCATTTTTCAAATGGGTTCAGCAGCCGGTGTGCTCACCCAAAGTTTTATTTATCCATTTCATATTTCTAATGTCGCTTTGCTGCTGTGATCATTTTCCTATGTGATCATTTAAGGAAGATGAATTGAACTGCAAATCTCAGTAGAACAGGCATTGCTCTTAGTCATTCCCCAAGGGACAGAGAAGATTTTTCTCACTTTTAGCACCACCTGCTTGTGCTCACCCTATAACCTCCCAAGAGCAGTTTTTAATTAAAAAAAATTATTTGGACATCAGAGTAGTTGGCTGAGTCGCCTCCCTGGTCCATGCACTGTTACCCCGAACATTCAGACTTCTCAGATCCCAAAACCAGGTGCTGAAAGGGACTGAACTAATCTCACCTTAGGATCAGAGGTGCCCCTGCCAAGAAGCAGATGTCATTAGCATAGAACTGACAGCCACAAAAGCTTCCCACCCACCACCTCTGGCCTTCTGTTCCCAGAAAATTTCAGTGGAGCCAGGCTTCCCATCCAGAGAGCCTCTCCAGTGGGCACATTAGAAAGGACACATTAGGATGCAGAAGAAGCCCGGCACACAAGGGCATCCACTGGGATGCAGAATACAGCGTGAGTTTTTGTTTCTTTGGTGTTTTCGGCCTTTTTTTTTTTTTTTTTTTTTTTTTTTCCAGACAGAGTCTCGTTCTGTTGCCCAGGCTGGAGTGCTGTGGTGTGATCTCGGCTCACTGCAGCTGCAGCCTCTGCCTCCTCCAGGGCTCAAGCAATTCTTTTGCCTCAGCCTCCTGAGTAGCTGGGATTACAGGTACCCACCACCACACCTGGCTAATTTTTGAATTTTTAGTAGAGATAGGGTTTCTCCATGTTGGCCAGGCTGGTTTCAAACCCCTGGCCTCAAGTGATCTGCCTGCCTCGGCCTCCCAAAGTGATGGGATTACAGGCATTGAGCCACCGTGCCCGGCCCAGCATGAGTATTAAGGTTAGGTACGTGGGCTCTGGATCCGGGCTGCCTAGATTTGAATCCTTGCATTGTTTATTCTGTGTGACCTTAGGTAGGTTATTTAACCTCTCTGTGCTTCCATTTCCAAAATGAGATAATATTAATAGAAGAGCTTTTCACAAGGCATGTGAGGATTACATGAGTTAGCACATGTAAAAAATCATAAAACCTGCCTCGCATATCCCAAAGGTGTGGTAAACAGCAGCTCACACCATGAGTGACTGAAGACTATGTGCTAAATGAGTGAATCCCATTCTTTCTGTAAGGGGCAGTCAGTAGTAGTAGAAAGAGCGTGGGTTTTAGGGGAAGACCTGAGTTTGAATCTTACCTCCAGTTTGTGTTTAACTTTAAATAAATTGCTAGACTTCTCATAGCCTCAGTGTCCTCATCTGTTAAATAGGAACACTTCCTCTACTTTTGAGGCTGACTGTGAGGACTAAACAGGAGAATGTATTTTAAATGCTCAACACAGTGCCTAGCACGTAATCAGCTTTTGAATATGTGAGCTCCTGACACAGCCCAGCTCAAAACAGGAGCCAGGGTCTCCTCAGGGTTTTAGAGGCAAGCACTGTTTCATTTATTCCCAGTGTTTGCTTTGTTGCTGCCAACCTAGTCTTCACAGTTCCTGGGGTTTGGGTCATCAAAGCCATTTTAAAAGCCTCTATTTTCCTCCAGCGTCTCCCTCCTGGTGGAGAGATGCCTGCCACCCGCTCGGGTGGCCTGTGTGTTTTTGGGTCACACTGTAGGTTTCCAGTGCCCTGGCTGCTTTGCTCTTCAACAAACCAACCACCAAGAGCCCTTTCACTTCCCTACCACCCCCACCCACCAGCTGCAGTCCATCTTATCTTTACTACGGCAACAAAATTGGTCCCCTTAAAATCAACAGGGACCTTGTTCTCTGTCCTCCTCTGTTTGCCTCTGTGGAGGGCTGGGCACTGCGGAACAATCCTCCTTTCCTTTCCTGGGACTGTTTTCTGCAGTAGCTTCTCCTTTTACTGCTACTTTGTTGACTCCTCTTTTTTCAGGATCTGGCCATCTCCCCACCCTAGAATCCCCTCCCTGCAAGCCCTATCCCACTCCGACCTCCCCAGGCCAGACTTCAGGACAAGCTAAAGCCCCGTCATCCTCCCAAAGACTTCCAGAGCTCTCGAGGTTCCAGAGAGCACTCTCCTCTGAATTTCAAAAGACTGACCTGGCATATTGCTCATTAGGACCTTGGAAAGACAGAGGCTACCTGTGTTTTCTGTGCATGATGCTTCTATATTCCTCTGGTTTGCAAGCTCCTCGAGGGCAGACCCAGAACTTTCTGTATGAGAAGGGCTCTGTCTACATTGTTGATATACTACGAGTCGCTCCCATTTGCTGAGTGAGGCTGGGATGTGTATGTATCTTTGTGTCTATCTATCTGTGTATATATCTATGTATCTATGTATATATCTATCTGTCATCTATTTATCTAGTTACATATAGCTATCAATCATCCATCTATCTTATCTTGTCATCACAACATTCCATGAAGTAGCTATTACTATGTTAATTGTATACATGAAGAAACTGAAAGTCAGACAGAAAAAAAAGAACTTGACCAAGACCAAACAGCTAGAAAGAAAGAGGGCCCAGGATCATAATTCTAGCATGTTTCCAATCCCTACGCACTAAATAAGTAGCCTCTAAACTTTCCGTATTTGGCATCCCTTTCAGAAAATATATGTCTTTTTTTGTCATTTATAACTTAATTATAATGTATTTACCATATTATTGATATATTATGTGCATTATAAAACATAAACTACAAAAAATAGAAATTAAAGGATAATACCCTAAGTATGGATTGTGGTCTCTCACTAAAAGAAATCAGGTCTTGGGAGAAGTGTCTAAGTTTTAGTCTGGGAAGTGTGCCTGGAGCATTTTGTCATACCAGAAAGCCAGGAAGCTATCAATTATTATTGGGTCCTGTCAAAAGGATGTGGGAACCAACCTGAAAAAGTTTCCATTGGCCAAACATGGGACATTTTGAGCAATTGCAATTGATTAAACCACATTTTAGGGGTGTGTGTGTGTGTGTGTGTGTGTGTGTGTATTTTTTTCAAATTTATGTTTATTATGATACTAAAAAGATACCTTGGTGATCACTTTTAGAGAATACTAGATGACCAACTAATTACTTTGAAAACTGGTAAAGAAAAAGAAGAATTTGTTCTGCCTTTCCTGTAAGAATTGTGTCCCTGGATTAACAAATAGACAATAAGAAGGTTCTCTTAAAGAAGAATTCCAACTAATAAGTGAGGACACATAGATAGAATGAGGATACCATAGGACACCACACTTTGTAACTGCTAGTGAACAAGGGATTTGATAATGATTGCTATCACAAAAAGAGAGACAAGCAGACATTACGTTCCCCCAATAGATGTCCATAACACCAGTTGCAAAATGTTCTTGTCAGAAAGATTTAATATGAACCTGATGGAGCCTCTTGATTTCCTTTTACAGAAAATATAGGGGATGGAGGCACATGATAAATGATACCATGGGAACATAATCAGCGGAATCTAGCCTGTAGATTAACCAAGAAAAGCAACCCAAGTTTTTCAACCAAAAAAAAAAAAAAAAATTGCAAAAATAAATAATGAGAGATTGAGAGAGGGAGTAATAGATTAAAAGAGACCTGAGGGGCATATTTATGTATCACAATGTGTGGACTTTGTTTGGGTCCCAACTCAAACTGTAAAAAAAAAAAAATTGTAGGAAAATCAAGGAAATATGAACACTGATTGGATATTCAGTTATATTGTGGGCTAATTATTGATGTGTTGGGAGTATAATGATGGTGTGGTTCAAGTTTTAAAAAGAGAGGGCATGTTTTTTAGATCCATATATTGAAATATTTACAGATGTAATGAGGTAGGGTTTGCTGTCTTAGATAACAAAATAAAGGAGCAGGGAGGACAAGTAGGTGGGTTAATACGGGAAATAAGCCTGGGCATGGAGTTGGTAATTTTTGAAGTTGAATGGTGGGAACATGGGTACCTGGGAGGTTCATTATATGATTCTACTTTTATATATATTTAAACTTTTAACAAAAAAGTGGTTTTGTAATGATGATATCAGAATAAATATAAAGAGTTTTAATCTTTCTTTTCTTCCTCCTTCCCTTCTTCCTTCTTCCTTTCCTTCCATCCTTTCCTCCTCACCCTTTCCTTCCTCTCCCCTCCCCTTCCTTCCTCTTCTTTCTTCCAGTGGGTTGTTTGGAGGTGGTGCCCTTGAGGTGTGATACCCCACTTTGGGGACCTTTGCTCTTGTCCCTTATGCAGCATCACCTCTCAACCTGGGGCCCAGGGAGGCCTGACCATGAGAAGCATCTCTTCCATCCAGGAACCAAGCTCTGCGCTGCATCTCCAAGCCTGCAGAGAAATGATGTGTGACAGCCCACCTTGACAAATCAGCACTGCTTACAGCCCCGCCACCACAATGCCTTCACTCTGTCCAACTCCAATTCCCTTTAAAGCAATGGAAGGAATCTGCTTTCCAAGATCCCTTCAGAAGGAAAGATTTGCATTGTTTAAAGGAGAAGAAAAATCAGATGTTTAAGAAAAAGGAAAAAGACAAAATCTCCTTTCAACAAGTAACAACCCTGCCAGCTTACTTAGGTCATGAAATAATGCTGTTGGCAATGACTTTGGGGTGTTCTATCACAGTCTCAGTACACTTTCTCCCCCAGGGCAGTATTTTATAGTTACTGCTTCTACACCCCATTGGCTCAGACATAATTTATTATTTGTTTACATGTTTCACTTACTCTGCTAAGGTGGAAGTCCAGTGATACATTATTACTGAGAGCATCAGTGTGTGTGTGTGTGTGTGATTGAAAGACTCAAGGAGATCTGACAGGTTCTGAACCTGCAACTTTTCAGAGCACAAGTGGCCTCCTCAGGTCTACAAGAGCCTCCCTGGGCTCTTGGCTCAGATCAAATGTGTTCTATGTCCCTGTAGTTAGTTCCTTCTACTTCTCTGAGGAGCAAGACAATTCCAGGAAGACACAGGCTCCCCGGGACTGTGACTTTCTATTCACTCCTTTGACTTGTCTTCCTGTGTAATGATCAAAGTCCTCCCATTTCTGGGGGGAACGTCACAGTTTACACAGCACTTTCTTCACGACAATAGCATAAAGAAAATAATACCTGCCCTTTATCTCCACATGAGACACAGAGAGGTCAAGGACGTGTGCAAGTTCAAAGAGCAAGAGTGGAATCCAGCCGGGACCAGCACCCCATGATGGAAGGGGCATGATCGTGGCTGGCCCAGTCACTTACAGCTCTTTGACCTGGGGCAGGTCAAGAAAAGCTCAGGTTCTTCACCTGCTAAAAGATGGAATTGATAGTGCTTACTGCACTGGGCTGTTTTAGAAATAAAATAGATGTCTAAAAATGCTCAGCAAAATGACTGGCATGTAATAAACGTGCAGTAAATGCTACCAACATTAATGGTCTTTTCAAAGCATTGTGTTTACAAAAGCTTTGGTGCCTTATAATAAGAATGGTAGTAGGTGACTCTTTTGTAGTATAATAATAATGATAATAATAAAATAATAGATGGCTTACAGGCATCATTTGAAGTCCCCTATGTGCATTAACCCTTTCATGTGTCATTACGTCCTTTATGCATTTTTGCCACAACAAACCTATGCGGTAGGTAGCATTAGCACTCCCCTATTAGGGATGAAGGACACAGATGGTAGTTAGGTTTAAGTAACCTGGCCTTTTACAAAGAATTAGTCCACATCTGAAGTGTTTCTCTGCTCTTTACTGTCCTCGTTCAGGGAGCATGGAACTGTGATCCCCCCCACCACCATCCATCAGCACCTGCTGAGAACTCAACAGCCTCCGTAGCTTCCGCTCCCTGGCTTCCCCCTCTAGTAGTAAAGTTCATGATTTTATGTGTCAGGTGCTCTTTGGGAGAGGAAACCACGGCCCAGATGGATTAGCGACTTGCCCAAATCCACGTGGGGAGCTGGATTTAGAGCCGGCTTGAGGATCAAGTCCGTGTTCTCACTCTCCCTTCCGTGTCCCCGTGATGCTGTAAGAATGCACAGGGCCTTGGGACCTCGGTCCTCCCTGCTGCCTGCAGCCCCGGGGTTTTAGCAGGCTTGAACTCCCGCACGCAGCCGCTGCAGCCATCGGGGCCAGAGGGACAGAAAAGTTCAATAGGGGGCGCCTGAGAGCCCAGGTGGGCGCTGAGCTCCTGCCTTCTCTCCCTCCGGGCCCAGCCGACAGGGAGGGGTTAGGAATTTAATCCTCCGCATTCCAGCCAGGGTTCCTGTGACATAATGAGGCCCAAGGAGGGATCTCGAGTGACTTGTCAGCAGAACCCCCGAAGGGATTTTCTATAGATAGCCAGGGCGTGTCTCGGCTCGGTCCTCTGCGGCAGGAAAGTTCTTTAATGCCTGGGCTGGGCAACGCTGTGCGCAGCAGGTGGGTCGGATGAGGCCCGCCAGGCGCTGGGCCCAGAGGACTCCGCGCCGCTAGGAAGTGTGTGGCAGCCGGGGAGGGGACGCAAGGAGCCCGGGCCAGGAGAGGGAATTCCAACTATGGCGTTTTGGAGAAAACTATTTAGCTATTTGCCCTAGCTGACCCCACCCCACGTTGGGACTGCGACTGCAAGGAGAGGTCCCAAATACTGAACCTCACACAGCCTTTGATGCTGGCTCTGGAAAGATTCTGTGGCATGAACCCGGCTCTCTTTGGGGAGAGAGACGTGTTTGGAATGTTGGTGTCTGGAGTGGTGTGATTGGAGGCTTGAGGTTTCAGAGTTCCTTAATTTGCATGGCCATGCACCAAGGTTATTATTTTCCACGATAGAGGATTGAAATTTGAAACTCTATTTACCTTCCAGATTCCAAACAAGCAACATTCCTATCAATAATGTCACATAAATAACGGCATGATAGCCGAGAATCCTGTCATTAGTAATGTGTATACATACACACACACACACACACACACACACACACACACACATATATATTCATTCTGTTTGCTGGTGGAAACGGATTCTCAGAAGCTATGCATGTATTTTACATAAAATAATAGCTAAGCTGCCGAGGGCTTTAACGATATAATTTCATCATGGGATTCTGGGCTCTTTGGTGTATGCTGCCATCAGAACCCCAAGACAGAATTAATTCATGTAACTGGGACAAGCCCAAATGCTGTTTTCCCATTCCCCTTATAAGTGAACTCAACTATTTTAATTGGCCAAACATTTGGTGGGTAGGGTATAGCATGGAGAAAAGCCTGTCTACTATATTCATTAGCGTCCTAATAAATTCATTAGAGGCAGCATATTGTTGTTAAAAACATGAAGTTTGCTTCAAATAGCCTGGGTCTGAATCCTCACTTGGCCTTAAAGCTATGAAAACTTGGGCAAGTTATTATACTGGAGCCTCCATTTCCTCATCTGTAAAACGTGGGTGCCGATCCCTGGCACCCTCAACCAGCTCTCAGCATGGTTGAGCCATGATTAAATGGCTCATGATTAAATGCTACTGGAACTGATGGAATGTATGAATTTAATACCCGTCAAAGGTCCTTTGCACAGTACCTGGAGCCTACAGTAACTGTCAATAGATGGCTACTTTATTATTAGCTCAATGGCAAAAGCAAAACATCCTTGAAACTGTTCCCTGACACCATGAAGGCCCAAGAATCTTAGCCACTTCCCTCCAGAAGCTTCTCTTTTTAGCTCCTAAATTCCCCAGATGCTCCACATTTGTAAGTTGTATTATTCCCAGCCAGAGAGCAGGGTGGCAGCCCCCACCCTGTCTGGAATCCCAGAAACACCTCTGAGATTCTGACTTAGCGCAGCTGCCCGTTACAAATAATTCGGGAAACATGCAACAAAACATATTGCAGCTCCACAGAAAGGTCTGAAGAGTGGACCTCGTGTGTCTGTCAGGATCTGCTTTCTCCTGCAGAAGAGCCAAGGCAGGGCTCTACCTGGAAGAGTACCCCTGGGGCTCCTCAGTGAGAAGCTCATGTGCCCCCCAACGTCTGTTATAGTGCTACCTTGTCATGGTGGATAGAAGGGTTTCTCTCTAGATGTACACACAATTCTTGCCTGTGAGTAGACCTTAGCTTTGTAATACTGGATAAGATTATGGCTTCAAGTCTTACCTCCATTCTGTACTAGCTGTGTGACCTTGGGTGAGGAACTTTAGCATTTTTGAACCTGTTTATTCTTAAATCTACAAGATGAAAAGAATGGTAAGCCTCTCACTAGATGGCTGGGTAGAATAAATGGGTTATCACAGGTAAAATGACCAGTATAGCTTCTGGCACAGAGCAGAGTGAGATAAGGCTGAATAGCCTTTCAGAAAGAAGAATTATTGAAGCCTATAGCTGGGTAAGCAAGACCTTCACCCTCACAAGCAGCCCAATTATTGATACCACTCCCTTTCCCAAGGCTTTCTCCAAGTATGCTAAACTAAGTGACCTGAAGTCTTTTTAGGGATCCTGTTGCTGTTAACAATCAAAGGGAGAGGAAATTTTATTTAAAACATGTTTTTTTTTTTTTTTTTTTCCTGGTTGAAATATGGTCACCCTATTTTCCAGCACCGAAAGTCCCAATTGATCAGGGGTAGCATTAGAGCTTTTAAATATTCCTTGTCAAGCAATGGCAATGGACAATCATTGGAGAAGGGCAGGGATGTGCCTCACAGGCTGCTGGCAGGGTCCCATGGAGGCTGCGTGTTGAGATTTTCCTTCCTAACCCACTGACTGTAGCTTCGTAATACCCAAGAATTGGGGTTGGATTTATACAGTATCAACCCTTTTCTCCTTATTTTATGCAGCTTTTTGTTATGTGCCTTTGTTCTCTCTGAAAATATTTTCTTCTCACCTATATGAGTAAACTGGTCACAGTCATTTTTAGGAACTGTGAATGTAGTTGAATTTATTTGCAGGTCAACTCTGCAGCTGCCAAATGCCCAAAACAGATCACTGGAGAGAAAGAATTCTAGCTACAGAGGAAAATAAATGTAGACTTTCTTGGTTTTGTCTCTAAAGTGGATACTGTGCCTGTTAAGTCCTGTGTATTTCCCCCATAGCACCTAGAACTGTTCTCCCCAGTGACTGGCATTTCATACATAGCACTGTCTAACTTAAGGTTCAGGAAGGGACTAGAGGCATATGGAGTGGGGAGGGGGCTGCAGAAAATAGATTCTCCTCTTTTTAGTAACTTGTTGTTTGCAATTGACACCATTATACACCCCAGAGAACTAAGTATATAGTTTATAGTAAATCATTCAAAGAAAATGTCAATCAACATACAAGATGCTGCGTAACATAGCCACCAGACACTCATTCTTTTTTTTTTTTTTTTTTTTTTTTTGAGATAGAATCTCACTCTATTATCCAGGCTGGAGTGCAGTGGCGTGATCTTGGCTCACTGCAACCTCCGCCTCCTGGGTTCAAGTGATTCTCCTGCCTCAGCCTCCAGAGTAGCTGGGACTACAGGTGCGCACCACCACGCCCAGCTACTTTTTTTGTGTTTTTAGTAGAGACAGGGTTTCACCATGTTAGCCA